CCTAACCATCTTAAAGTACTTTGCGCTCTACATTTTTTTGGTTATGGGAGCTATCAACTCGATACAGACAGTGGTGGAAATTTTGGACTTAGTCAGCCTTCGGTTAGTAGGAGTATTTCCAAGTTAGAAATTGTAACGGGGCATTTAATAAACCTTTGGATAAAATTTCCTCAAACAGATGAAGAAATAAATAATAAAAAACGATTATTTCTTCAAAAATATGGTTTTCCGACTGCGATTGGTGTAATTGATGGCACACATGTAGCAATAGTTACACCACCCATCCGCCTGCTCCGTATTTGAACAAAAAAGGATTTTATAGTATAAATGTACAAATCATCACAGATGCTGAACTGGAAATTATTAATATGAATGCAAGGTTCCCAGTGTTCACGATGCTGCTATTTGGATGATGTCAAACATAAATAGGCATCTTCAGAACCGCCATTTGAACGAAAATATAGACTCTCACTTAATTGGTGATGATGGTTATCCATTAAGTCCTTGGTTAATGGTTCAGTTTCCTGGGCAAATTAAACCTCAGAGTCCTCAAGGACGATTTAATCAACAATTACGAAGGAGTAGAAACTGCATTGAATTATTTAATGGTAAGCTGGAAGGTAGATTCAGATGCTTACTTAAAGACAGGGTATTAGGTACATTACAACCCTATAAAAGCAGCAAAAATTATTTACACCAGTGGTGTGTTATATAATATTTGTAAACATTTCCGAGTGCTTTATCCAGATGATGATGAGCCCTTACCTGTTGAAGATATCATACTTCAGGAAAATTATAATGAAAACAGAGCGCAAAATTTTTATGTTCAAGGTCAACGTAGAAGAAACTTGTTAACTCAACATTATTTTAATCATTAAATATTAAATACATATGCTGTAATTGATATTCTTCTAATACATATAATGAAATACCTAAACCTACTTATAATTCCTATTACTACTTAATCAAATTTATTTTTTTTTGTTAAATTTTGATTTATAGCAGACGCTACATTGTTAATAGCAGCTGCCATATTTTCTTGGCTTCTTACCAAGCTTTCCAACTAGCTTACTTTAACCGAAGATAAAGACCTTTTCTTCTTTTTATTAAGATTTGGCAAATTTTCTTTATGAGGACTATATATTGGCATGTTTTCACCTATGAAATTTAGTAATCACAATGACTTAATTACTTCAAAATAGATACTTACTTTCTTTATCTATTATATCTTCCTTTGGAACGTGCACATTTTCGATGTCATTAAAGTTTTTTGTTGCGTTATTTTCATGGGGTTCATTTTCTTCAGCAAGCCCCGCTTCACCTACATTAGGAGCACGTTCTATGACAATTATATTTTCTAGATTAAGCAGTGTCTTAGGCCCACTACTTTTTCTAATCTTCATAAACGATCTTAAATAACTCCCATATCACTCTTTTTGCCAATGATACTTCAGGCTCTGTTATGTTATCCAACTTATCATCGTTAAGCTCCTATACTAATTCTGTAGTTTCGGATATAAAGTCTTATTGTTATTCTAATGGACTACCAATGAATAACGAAAAAACTAAATGTTTTGTTTCTTCAACCAAACCTTTGGATCAGTCAGTCCTAATAAAAGCATTCCTTTAAGTGAATCTGTTAAATTGTTGGGGCTTTATTGGACAACAAATTAACATGGAACGATTACATTATTTACTTGCTAAACAAAATGAGTAGCGTGTGTTTTGTTATCAGAAACCTGCACAACTTAGTCAATTTTCAAACCTTGAAAACTTACTATTATGCATATGTTAATTCTTCTATTAACTATGGGATAGTATGCTGGAGAGGTGCCACTGGCGTCTCTAGAATTTTGAAATCACAAAAAAGCATTATTCGTACTATTACTTATAAAAATAGACGCTCTTCCCGTAGAGAACTCTTTATAGATCTTGAAACTCTAACTGTAATTTCTCTTTCCTTGAATCCTTGAATGTGCTTGATGCGTTAAGGAGCATTCGGATAAATTTTGTAATAATATAGCGGATAATATTAATTACGATCTTAGGAGAAACTATAATTTGTTATTACCTCAGCATCGATTGTCTCTTACAGCTAGAGGACCCCATATAATGTTTATTAAAATCTTTAATAAACTGCCTGCCCAAGTTCAGGTTTTAAATGATTTAAAGGTTTGCAAACGAGTAATAAAAAAATACGATTAAAAAATCCTTTTTACACAATATTTCTCTTTTAATTTTACTAATATTGGAGATATTAAAATGTATTAATTGTATTTTTGTCTGTCTATTGACGTTTCCTACAACTGTTGTAAGTTCCTAAGAAATAAAGCTATATTTATTTATTTATTTTAGTATTCTTGCTCGTGTTCTTTTCACAGAATTTATAAAATCTTGGGATTAAAGTGTTCAAATAAAAATTAAAACAAAATAATATATTTAGAACAAAAGAATATTATTTTCCGTTGATTTGTATAATATTATGTATACCTACTATATTTTGTTATATTGTAGGTATAAAAAGTGTTCTTTAAATTCTAGAGTTAAATCAAACATTAAGCCACCTGAAGAGTCTTTTTTTATTTACATTGGAATAATCGAAAACATCTTTTTGTTTAAAACATCAGTAATTTGAGATTAAACTAATAAAAAGTCAATAGTCCTTTCAAACGCTTTTCAACATTTTAACAGCGATCGATCATGTATTGGCTTACCCTACCCTGCGTTATATATTTTATGATAACCGGTTTTTACACAAAATTAATTCGTTATTTTGCGGAATAACAACTTTTTTTACGATCGGGTCATCCAGACAACACAATGCGTAAAATTGTGTTTGGTGCTGCGGAGAAAATTATCTAACTCTTGAGGTATCCACTTCAATTTGTCCAAAATACCCTTTTTTATACCTCTCATCTCTCGCTATGTTGCTGCTTGTATATTGCACGACTGCCTAAATTTCTAAATTGCGTCCTCTTCTCTTTATCTTGAATAAAAACGTAATGCTAGAGTTAAGTGATGCTATGTCCAGTCTATAAAGTACACAGTTAAACCTTTATAATTCGTATTAATTATTATTGGAAGAGATACGGATCGAATTAATTAAAAGTAATAACTGAAATGTGTCTATGTCTTAAAAAAGTATAATAAAATATAATGTTTGTTAAAAGTTTATTTTCGCTTTATTTCAAAATGCAATACATAATAATTAGGATCTGCCATTAAAACCCTTGTTTTTTCTGTGTATCAATTTTTTTCAGGTTATTTCTACTACAAGTATTCCTAATTCCTAATATTATTCCTAATAATACTATTCCTAATAATAAATATTAATTAATTTTTATTACATGTATGTGGTCAGAAAGAGTTTTAATTAGGATCAATTAAAATTATGAATAAGTTAAACTATGCAGTTTCTGTCGGTAGTAGTCTACATATACCGGGTGGGGCATCCGTTACGCCCAAAAAGAAAATCCCTACTTCTAATTAAATAAAATTGTTCAATTTTTCCACACTTACCTGGCCATTAATTTTTTGGTTATTTTTCATTCAAAAACAAATCCAAAAATAAATAAAAAGTAATTTTCTCCCAAAAAATATAATTCTAATTTTTATACTGACCTACGCAGATTCACTTCCTACAATTGTTTACAAATTCAGAAAAAAATACCAATTAGATTTTGAATTAAACGCAATTTTCCATCTTAACTTTGAAAATCATTTTTATTTATGACTTGCTACTTGTGCCATCGTAAATTTAGGTGACAATGGGGAACTGCAATTGGGGTAAGATTCCAAGGTTTACAACAAAAAGACCCTTTAAAGAGGTCGGCTACCAGTAAATGATTCTTTTGTTATCAAATTATACCATTTTGTCATAAATCAAGTCAAATTTGAAATTGTGATATCACAGTTTGATGCGCTGACAGGTACAGATTCATTTAGTGTAAAAACTTTATAGGTAAATTAACAGAAAGTATTCATAAAACACACAAAACTGTTACGGACTCATTTATAATCCAAAAAAATAGAAAAACTCTCAAATTATACCCTACGAATAATTAGTTAGGTATATGAAATATCGCCAGTTTAAATTAATTTGAAGTCGCGATTTATCAAGTGCGCGTAACCGATGCCCCACCCGGTACCTTCAGGCTGCTGTATATGTCGCGCACCTCCATGACACTGGCAATGTCGTGGACAACAAGAAAAATGTTAAAAAAATCTATCCATAAAAATTTCGAAGTTATAAATTTTGCACTTTGACTCTATTTATTTCTGTTGGAAATATAATTGTTCAAGTTTTTTTGCTACAGGCAAATTAGAAGAGGAAACAATCAAACTGTATCCTAAATTGTAACTCTGTTTAATGTTATTTGAGGCTTTTATTGTATGTACATGGTGCTATTTCAGAAAAGGTGCGGTAAACTGTTATCACTGTTTAAAATTAATGAGTAATGTTTTGGTCAATGACTCATTGCACTTCCAGTTCGGATGCAAGAGGTTCGGATTAAAGCATGATTGGATTAACGAGGTTGCACTGTATTTTTATAAATTCTAACTTTTAAGAAAGTTAGCAACTAGTTATATCCCAGTTTCAATATATTTAGAATTGATTTTTCAAAACTACTAACGTTTTAACACGTCGAAAATTGTAGAATCTAACTTTAATGCCGAAAGATTCAATTTTTTTCATTTTTATAATTCTTATTAGTGTTAGTTTTTGGAGACTTTTAGAATTATATTTATACAAAATGTTTTTTAAAATATGAGAAAATAACATAGTAAGTATGGGAAGAGAAAATCCGCATTAAAAAAATACTCAGTTCCCATTTATTATGTTCTCTTTTTATGACAACGTATTGTTATACTGTTAACATAATTAGAAGTGATTTTCATACAGGTGGCCACCTGATATCGTCGCTAATTTATCTATTTTTGCTCGCATGCGCCAATCCCATTCTCCGTTCAAACTGTTGGCGGAATCAGTAGCGTCGCGACGTTCCTTGGTGGCGGCGGCGGCGGTGGCGCACACGTTTTTCGGCGTGCTTCACTACCAATTACTTAAACACTCGTAGAAAACAATCATGTTCAGCCGACCCCGACCGTAACCTAATCCCATTTTTATCTCCAAAGGTCAAGATTCAAAAATAAGATGTGTCTTTCTAAAACATTCAGTTAAAAGATATTCGACAACATGAAAACTGTGCGCGGACTTGTTGTCAAATATTCAGTTATGTTTAGATTGATGATTTCAATCGGTAAGTGGGATTTTTACGTATGTGACCAAAGCTTTGATTTCACGCACTTTTTTTTGTTTACCGAAAAACTGAAGCTCACACTAAATTTGCCATCGAGTTGTTACGTATAAACAAATCATTTATTAGAGATCAGGGTTCGCCCTTCAGGCGTGATGTATCGAATTCATTCTGTCTGAAAAATATGTTACAGTAATGAAAAAAATTATTACAATTTCACTCAAACTTGATTAATAAAGACTAATAAATTTAGTTTATGATATTTCTTGAACTAAAAAAAAAAATAAAAAAACCTCATTTAATTAAATGTTATAAGGTAAGTTGACCAATAAGTGACCAAGAGATGCAAAACTAAGAGGACTACTTGTACATATAAAATCTTTTTTTATATTTTGTTCAAAAGGCGATACATTTTATATTATTTTTTTTATATTTTCAAAATGGCCTATTTGAAGTTTCCTAAAACTTATATTTAATTCCAAACATTCGTACTAGGCATTTTCCAGAAAGACCAATAGCAATAACTTACTATTGCATTGCCTAACTGCTGTACAATTTTTAATTTTTGTTATACAAAAATTTATGAAAAGCTTAATTAGATCAAAAATCTCAAATTATCTCCAAATAAAATGATTTAATATTAACCAACACATTTTTAATCAAACTTTGGCTTCATTTCAGAAGCAATTTGCATATCCCTTTTAAAGAGTAAATAAAAGCACAGTAGAAATTACTCTGTAGAATAAATTAAAGCTCTTTCAGCACAACATTAAAATTTTATGTGGTTTAGTTTTTTTTTAATATTTTGGTTTGTGTTTTCATCACTTTCATTTAACTTTAATCTACGTGTTGCAAACAAGGCAACTAATAATTGAGAGAATTTCAATCTTGCGCCCTGACAGAGAGGTCGTCAGCTGGCCAGCACCTAGAAGGAGGATGCACTTGGGTTGCCACTTCATTTGGAAAAATTGAATTTAAAGAATGTTTCCTTTTTGTTACAATGACTACTACTTTTTATACAGGCTGGATTATAAAAAATGCCTCAAGATATAATTGGATTATTTTTAAAAACGTTACAATACTTTTATGGGCGCCGAATATTTATAGTTTCAATGGGTGCATAAATAAAAATCTTGATAAATTAATTGTTTTCAAAGCAATAGAAATTAAAGCAATAGAAATAGCATAAAAAGTTTTTTTTCAGATCATACAGGGTTATTCATAAATATGAAGCAATATTTGAACCTCAAAAATTCTCATCATTAGAAGTCGGACACGAGTTATTATTTAAATTAACATCAATTTATAGGTCATTTTTGAGGTTCAAATATTGCTTCATATTTATGAATAAGCTTGTATGTTGGATTAAAATCTTCGTAATGAGCTCGGAACGCAACTTTAAGAAATAAAAAAAATATTTTTAATAATAAAAAGTCATTTTTAGATCATAGTCTTTAATTAAAAAAATTGAATATGTAGTAGGTTGCCATTTAAAAAACTTTTTTTTTGCAAAATTCGAAAACTAAAAAAATTCCGAAAAATGTTGTTCTTGATAAATGGTCACATTTTAATTGTACTTTACGCTACACTAATTATTTTTTTCGTAAAGAGATTAATTTACGAAAAAAACGCTTGGTTCCATACTTTATATTCACCGTGTCTGTCTTAGTCTGTAATTAAATCTTCCAAAACATTAAATGTCTTTTATAAAACCCTCAACACAAATGTCAGAATGTAAAAATCAAAAATTTATAAAATGTATAAAATAATAATAGTTATTTATTATACAGGCGGTTAAAGTGGCCGTTTAATAAGCTGCGGTTTAATAACAGCGAATTAAACAAACATTTTATTCTGCGAGTGTAATACATCATACAACAACTTTCCGATATTAAAAATTAAAAATATTAGTCATCAAATCGTCAGACATTTACCAATTTTAATATTATATTCTTGGGTTATATTATGATTCCTAAGCGGCGATCAAGTCAGCGACGTGTTTTTTATAAACAAAGTTTAAAAAAAATATATTGTGCGTGTCAAGTCGTTTTCTGTGGAAAAAATTAGTAAATAATTTGTGCGAAGAAATGCATGATGTTGTTTCTTCTGATGTGGAACGCTCTTTGGATAGTAGTGATGCCATCCATAATAATGGATAAACTGCTTTTTCAAAATCTATTGCACCTTGTCCAAGTCCTGCGTTAAACATACGGTTATGGAAGCGTGAATCTCGAATGTCCAACAGAATCTATAATCTAAAATTTTTAATGCGCCGATTATTAAAGTTTAAATAAACAGAATAAACAATGGCTTTAATAGTTTGATTTGACATAAATAAACGTCATTTTATAAGGCAAAATCGAATAAAATAATTTATACATAAAAGTTTTAAGTTCATGAAAAAGATTAATAAAGAAGAGTCACCTTTTATAAAATAAGGCTTCAAAAGAAAAATTACTTCAGTTTTTTCATAAAATAGCACCAGGAGAAATAATTATTCGTAACAAGTGTCAACGAAAGTTTTAGCTTGACGTTAATTTGTAAAATAAAAAGACATTTTATCATGGAAATATTTATAAACTTGTCCTTAAAAATTTTTTTATGTACAAGCAAATTAATAAACGAAGTGATTATAAATATTTTATTCTGTTCGTCTTATGACTTGTTGCTGATATTTTACTTTCCAATACTGTCAAACGATCTTTTCTGTACGAAATTTGATCAACAAATATTGAAAATAAATAAATAAATAAAAAACAAAATTTATTAAGGAAATTACATTAATTAAATATGATTTATTCTTCGACACTGTCAAAATTTACGGTTTTTCTCCCGTGTAAGGAAGTTTTGTCAACTGTTTGGCATTTCTCAATACGAAACGTCAAATTATTTTTAACAGTTTTAAATCAAGTTTAAGCCTTGTTGAGTCTAATTCGAAGAATAAAATGTTGTATTCAACTCGTTTGAGTATAAATCGGACGCTTTATTCCACCTCGTGGATGGTAAACCACTCGGTCAAATAAAGCGTCCGATTTACACTCAAACTCGTCGAATAAATAACTATTAGTCCTCATTAAACTATTTCTCTTGACTTGGTACAAACATTTCTACACTGTTATCAATGTTATCACTTTCTAAAATCGTCTTGAAATTATGACTTTTATTATTTTTTTTGGTCTCTGAACTCTTCAACCTTATCATACCGTTTCCCTTCATAATAAATTAATTTTATAACAAATCAAGTGAATACATATAGCGGTTTACTTTTTGATGACAAAAACTGTTAAATGAGAATGTGACATCGCATCATTGTGAATATTGTAATGCAAAACAAAATCATTTGCCCATTTTTCTGGACTTATGTACTTACTTAAATGGTTGATCTTCTGTTGCAACTCAAAATGTAATCGCCATTCTTCAAATTTGGCTGTTATTTTGTGATGTTTACATACCTGGTACATTCTATGTTTTGAAAAATTTTCTTAAATACAATGATTTTTGCAAAAATATAACAGCAAATCTAGTTTTACTTTTTACAGTTAGTTTTGTAATTTTGTTCAAAATAAAATATACACTGTATCACCATATAGGTAAAATGAAAAAATAGTTTTTTTCAAAATTTTCAAAGTGTTCTTGTTTCAGCTTTTATTAGACTCGCCTCAGGCGATCGTTTCCAGTCTCTTTTTTTGTCCTCGGTCGTAAAAATTCACTGGTGGTTGATAATACAGTCGACCAATTTTGTTTTCGAGGTAGTAAAGGGTAAAAAAATCACCTTGTCAAACTGGTCAGCTGCGTCTGGAAGTAGTTAATGTACTGGTTTGGTTATGACGCGTGCCGTTATAATCAGGGTTGTCTTAAGTTGTAATTCACTTGTGCGTGTTATATTTAAATTTTTAGCAAGACTCTTGCTGAGTGATAATAATTTAATATACAGGGTGCGCCAGAACTCGCGTCTCAGAGAAAAATGACGTATAAGGTACCAGAAACATAGAAAAAATGTTAAAAAAATTATGTATAAAAATTTCGAAGTTATGAGGGTTTAAAATTTGCACTTTGACTCTATTTCTGTTGGAAAAAGAATTTTCCAAGTTTTTTTGCTATAGGCTATTAAAAGAGGAAACAAGAAAGCTGTATCCTAAATTGTAACTTTGTTCAATGTTATTTGTGGTTTTTATTACCAAAATTTTTGTCCCTTTACTAAATAATTATAAAAAACATATACAAGATCATCAGTATCCTTAAATAGATATAGAAAAAATGTCAAATGTCAAAACATAAATGTTCAAAATTTTTTGACAGACAGAATTTTTTAAACATTTTTTTCATGTTCCTGGTATCTTACTTTACTTGAAAATTTTCTCTGGAGCGCGAGTTCTGGCGCAGCCCTGTATTTTATACATTAAATTGTTATTAGCTGAAAGGAATTTTTTTTTTAATTTTAATTTTTTTAATTTGAACCACTGAAGCCAACCCTGCATATCTAATTAGACAGCGGTGGTTCGAATATGTCTTAAAAATCTTGATTCTACTTTATGCATGATTTTTCAAAATTAAAATTACCTATTACGATCAAGATAACATATAAATATAGAGAAGAATCCTACCTTGTGTAGGATTGTTGAGGAGACGATTTCAGGGAGGTTGATACTCTTGATAAGGTTACGTTCTTTTGGAAATTGAGGGTGTCTTCAAGTTTAGAGATTGAGGGTGTCTTGAGGGAAGTAGTGGGATTCTTTTATTGTAAGATGTTTGAACTCAACTTTTTATTGAACATCTTACAAAAATGACTTCTATAGTTGCCAACTAAAAAGTTATTAAGATTGACGCTAACATTATGTTAATAAGTAATCTTTAACCAAGCAGGGCTGAACCCCAAAAAATGAAAATTTAAGTTGAGAATTTTCTATGTTTTACAAAAGTCTTCACCCATCCGGCGACACACTGTATACTTACGTTTTATTGTTAATGTGCAGAAAATAACATGATTAAACATTCACCGGACGAAAAAGCTACTTTACATCTTTTATTTAAAACGATGGCATTTTATATTTATTTAAATAAAAAAGTCTTAAAGTTTAAAACACACTTCACAAGGAAACGACTGAATTTTTCAATATTTTCTAAAAGCATTCATCTAAATGAAGGAACGACAATTAAAATGTTTTCGTTCTCGAAGCAGCCTTATACTAACTTAAAGTATTTCGATTCGAACAAACTTCAAAGGGACAAATGGTTGCGTTTATGCAATTGATTGAAAATGAGACGATGTTTGAAACTGTTATTTGTCGATAAATCACAATATAAAAGTTCATGAAACACATAGGTACTCGTATATTTAGCCGGCACTAACCGTTAAAACCTTAAATTATTGGATTTGTCCGAATGACCTGTCACGACAGCGTTTACATTGGCTTAAAAGCTAATAATTTAAATGCATTAGAGGCCTCTAATTGACAATTTCAAACTTTATTACTTCAATACACTCATTGACGCGTTCATAATGGTGTTTAAAATTGCTTATTCATTGAAGGCAAAACTTGAACGAGCGCAAAATAACGAAATAGAATTTAAATTAGGACTAAAATAAGAGGAAAAGTGCAAAGCGGAGGAAGAGACGTTCATCCTTGAAAACAGCAGTTAATCTAAAGTTTGACTTCATATAGAGTTACAAACCATTAAGGAAGTTTTAATTTAGCGATATTAGCCTTCCGACTGGATGTTAATAAAGTTTTCATTGCAACCCCTTGATTACTTTATCATTTTTATTGCTCTCGATTTCATTCACGTAATGATTATACATTTTGATAAAATAAGACATTATTTATTTTTAATGTAACGATTTTTAAATTAAAAAATGTTGAACCAATTAATTATTGCTTTTTCAATGTTTGCACTAATTGCAAAAAAGTGAATGATACAGGTTGCTAAAAAGTTTGGATAGCGTTAAGTTTGAAGAGTAAAAAGAGGGTATTATCTATACAGGGTGTTTACGGTCTTGAGGTTGAAGTTTAAATGAGAGGATATTTACGGTAGAAGAAAACTAATACGCTATATAAAACAAAAATTCACGTTGTTAAAGGAAATTATTCATTTTACACTATTTGTTTGAGAACTGCTGCTTCGGCAGCAACAATGGCCATTACGTTGTGTTTCACCATAAATCATAATCACGACAACCAATTTATTATTTTAATATTTTGCCATACATGTTTATAAATTTGGAGAAAAATTAAGAAAAACGAATCAAACCTATTGGAAACCAACCATTCGCTGAAAGAGATTAAACAAAAGATCTTCGAATTTTGATAAAAACTAAAGCAAAAGCAAATCAAATGATGACAGTGTCAAAACTATGAAGTGACTTTTCTCTTTCATTGTCATGGATACGATTTTTTTATCTGTTGCAACAATACAATTTTATCTGAACAAGGAAATAATTCCAGTGACCCTCAAACCGTGTACCAATATTTTGGAGTTAAATAGTATTCTTGATGATAACAATTGTGTGAGTTTTTTTTCGGTTACATTATTATTTCTGTACTCTTCTATTACTAGGTCAATTTTCAAATTTTCAACTCCAAGACTGTAAACACCCTGTATTTGTGGCATTATTTTGTCCAAATAAATAGACGTCAACAGCGATGCAAGAGTAATTTTTCTTGTAAAAGTGTATTTTTTTATTTTTTCTAGGTCTTTTAGAGTGCATTGGTGGAGTCCGAATCAACAGACTGCAAGTACCGGAAGTGACGCAATTGGGCGACCCTGTCGTCCTTGATTGCGATTACACACTAGAGGAGTCTCTGGACGACGGATTGGTCGTTAAGTGGTTTTTTAACGAGACTCCGACTCCGATTTATCAGTGGATTCCCAACAAAAAACCGCAGGAATTAGGTGAGATTTCTCGTCCTTTTCCTCAATTCCGGCAAAAGAGAAAAAAATCACCGTCATTTCCGATTGGAACGTCGACTCGGAACGTTTCCAATGCAAGAATCTCTTCTATAACTTGCAATTATTCTGATTCGAATCAAAGTGGTGTTCATAAATAATTTATTTCCACGCTCCGAATAGATTTGGTAGGAATCGTACCGAACACAGGCCGATACAAATTGGTGAATAATTTTGTCTGAAAATTGCCAATTGAATTAATAGCTGAAAGCTTGAATTTGTTGGACATCGATCGACAAAGTTTGTTATTGAATAGGTTACAGGATATGAAGTGGCTTTAAAATGTTTAATTAGCGTTAATTTACTGATGCATCTAAAAATCATTTACGATTACTAGTTTAATAACAATACGTAGGATCAAACTTTGGTTTTCAGAAGTTTTATTCAGATCTTTTATAGTAAAATAATGTCTAAATTTACCTCAGCATTTTCAATGGTATATCTGTCAATTATTAATTAAATACCAGGCAACTATATAAAAATGTCTATATTGACAGTGTGTTTTATTTTATTTTATTATCGTAATTCATAAATGATAAGTCTGACATTGACAGTCAATGACAACGGTTGATAGTAAGTAGTAAAAAAATGAAGTTAACTATCTTAATGCTTGCTTGACAACTTCATAACACTCAAATGACTCTGAGGGCCAAAGTAATTTGTCTGCAACTGTACAATTAACTTGTCTTCGTTATAATTCTATGGCTCAGGAAGAATACTCCCTGTTTGTGTGTTATCACAAGAGCGGCATAATGCATTAAAAATGATTTTTTTAAACTCACTACCGTCACAAAGACATTTCGTAAACGCAGCAGTCAGCCGCGAACGTAGATTTCCCGCACTGCTGCACTAGTGTGCAAAATTATGCAAAATGCACGGGCCTTTGTGAGCATTCTAAATATAATTTGACTTAATAATAAAAAATCTGGTTAACAAAATACTATTTCTCCAATTTAGATGTTGAAAATTTCGAAAGAGTAAAATGAAATCGCTACCATGACTCTTTGGCAAGCGCATAAGCGTAAGGGCGAGCACCATTTTTTATTTACTATTGGTATCAATTAATTTTATTAATAAGAAAAAAATGTTAATATTTGTTTCAAGAAATGTTCTACGAACCTCGATGCGCGAAGACGTCTTTGGCGCATTTGCGCAAATGAATAATACGCTCCTGTGCGAAAAATGTCTTTTTGCACTAGGTTCGTAAATAATTATTTCCCACCTTATTCAGCAGGCGCTACATCTTTGATTAGAAAACAAACTTTATGTGATCATAAAAGTAGAATTGCTTTTAAGAATCAATTTGTATACGTATACTAGGGGAGACTGGTGTCAGCTGTAACAAAATATACAGGTTGCGCCAGAACTCGCGCCCCAGACAAAAATTTCAAGTAAGATAGGATACCAGAAACATGGAAAAAATGTTTAAAAAATTCTGTCAAAAAAATTTGACATTTATTTTTTGACATTTGGCATTTTTTATGTCAGTTTAATGATACTGATGATGTTGTATATATTTTTGTACAATTATTTAGTAAAGGTACAAAAATTTTGCCACAAACAACATTGAACAGAGTTACAATTTAGGTATCCTAAAGCTTCTTTGTTTCCTCTTCTAATAGGCTGTAGCAAAAAAACTTGAAAAATTATTTTTCCAACAGAAATAAATAGAGTCAAAGTGCAAAATTTAAACTCTCATAACTTCGAAATTTTTATAGATAACACCCTGTATATTATATATTTTCTTGTATAAACAAATCATCCGTTATTGTATTTTATTGTATTTTTTTCTTAGTAGAAAGTGACATTTCGGTACACTATTTCATATTTAGAAGCTACAACACTCGTATTGATTTCATATAATAGGGTGCCCATTTTATTTGTTCCCGCCTAAAATTTCATAAATAGGCTAAATTGGTTGCCTATTTATCAAATGCCTTTTCATATGAAACTTTGTATTTAAAATATTTTTTTGTAATGTATGTCAGTGAATTTTGTCAGTTTTTATTGCAAAAAATAATTCGAGTTGTAATTAATTCGTTACAATCCTAAAAGTGTACAACAACCCTGAAAAGACGGATATATGATATTAATTTTGGGAGAGTGCCGCAAGAATTATGATGCCTCAGTTTGCCTGTTTGCCATAAGATACCCAGGAAAAAGAATTCTATCAAATCATGTCTTCCGGAAGATTACAATTATTTGTTAATTTCATGTTGCTGTTTCCATTATTATACATTTGAGTTTTGAGTTTTTTTTTTTAAGTTTTCAATCTCAGTAGTAGTCAAGCACCGTTTATGATTATTCGATTTAAAATAGTAATAGTAGTACTCTTGTATACCGGTCTGTTTACAACTTCACAAAAATTAATCAACCCAGTAGATAGCAGAATCAATGTGTATTAACAGGCTTGCATCAGATTTTGATACAATTTGTTAATATGCATCGTATCCCAAAAACAGTAGGCGAGTATTTACTGATAAAACACTCAAGAAACGCATTACCAGAAAGATATTGACAGTCGATTCATTTTTTAATGTTTGTTAAAGATGGCGCTAAAATAACTCCTGTTACATTCGACACCTGTTACAATTGACACCAGTTTCCCCTACCTCAGTTGTATTTTTTATTGGACATATTTTAATGTGCTACTTTAGATATGTTGAAACAGAAGTGGGAAGAACTTTAAAAGTATATATTGTTACCATTCCAATTCCCCTTTTCTCTTAATATCCGATATAAACTTTATAGTTTGAAAGTCTCAATAAAAGCCAACAAGTGTAAGTATTTGACAATTTGTGTTTGTACAATTCGCCTCAACACTTTACTGAAATAAAATAAATGAAATATCGATATATACTAGACAAATTATTTGTTATTATTTCACAAATTTAACATTTACTTATGTTACTATTAATTTCTATGCGTCTCTGGAATAAACATTAATCCTTCAAATGAATATACCCCTCGGCTACTTTTGGTCGCCTCTAGCATTACCTACATTCTTGAGATTAAAATTGTTGCTTATTCCCTTGATACATAAATTACTATTATTAGCAATCATATTGTAATGTGTCAATTTCATGACAGATATATTGACGTTAGCTGAAGATTTGTTTTGTGTAAGTAGGTGATACTTTCAGGTATACTTAAGGGACGGCTCGACTTAGAATACTCGGCGAGCACCGATACGAATAGTGTGCACCGCGCCTTGCATATCATACAGCCCGGCCCGGATCTGTCCGGAGATTACACCTGTTTTGTTTCTACCTTCAGCAGTGAGGACAGGAAAACGAAAAGGATGCTCGTTTTTGGTAAGTTGAGTGTTCCTAGTAATAATCATAATTTGCATCGTTAACGTGGTAAGTGGGGTGACAATGGTTCGTTATTTCAAGTGGGAGCTTAATTAAAACATTGTATACACAGTTTGCAAGAGTTGCTTGTTTATTAGAGTAACCTTTTAAAAAACGTCCAAATCTAATTTTGGTTTTAAATTACTTCTTGCAACTTCATCTTCCAAAAAACATGTTGCAGAAAATCGTTCCTCGACGTTTTTAAAGTGAAACTTTTATTCCATCGCCCCAAAATTTTTCGTCCATCTATCGCATGTCGCATTACAGCCGGCCGCGGAGTAGGGGTAAAGTGAAAGGCGCTCGGCAGCGCAGCCAAGGCCAATATGGCGGCGCCCATGGCTCGCATCAGCTGACCGTGTAGAATTTATATGCTTACTCATTCGTGCAAGTGCTCTGCGGTATTTGTGTGTTTTGATCAGTGTATTGATCCGAAAAAATATGGTTTGAACATCAGACGTCTTTCCTTATCCTTATTCTTATTTGGAAATCATCCTAACGACAATAATTTAGTGTTGGAAATCCGAGTAGCAAACCTAACTTGCGTTAATGCCACCTGCCGGATTACACGCGAAATAGATCGTAATTGCTGCAGGTTAGAGTCTGGGGTGCAGTTTTTTTTTTTACTTTGGTACCCATTATTATTATTGTTTTATCACATTTTACTGTTTAATAAGGTATATTTCAGGTTCTAAATAATTTGGATCCCTTTGAGTTTATTGTATCTTCAACCGTATAATTTTGCGGCCGCTTTACGGCCGACTTTTGGTCTTTGCGGCCGATTTTTACCAATTCTTTCGTGCTACGTCCCCTTGCTACAAGGGATAAGGAAAGTAAAAAATCTGGTGTGAACATCACACGACTTTCCTTATCCTACTTATCTGGAAAACACCCTTACGACAATAATTTAGTGTTGGAAATCCGAGTAGCAAACCTAAGGGATAAGGAAAGTAAAAACTTTCACTTGCATCGTGGTTTCTTTAAACCATAGCAGATTTTTTGGAATATTTGCATATTTTACCTGTATTTTTTCATTTTAATGTCCATTGGAAATATTAATATTGCTGACAGCAAAACAAAATAATTGTAGTAAACATTTATTTTGTACCGTTAACAGATTTTGGAAATTCCATACACATACGCCTTTGTGTGTGGACGACGATGTATGTACATGTCTTAAATGTTCATGTGTAGGGGCCTAATGACGTTAACAACTATTATTTTTCCATTATCGTCCGCAAAATGGACGAAATAGTCCGTAAAGAAGTGTTTTTAATATTTTTAGTACTAATTCGTATGTCCTCAAGAAGAAGAATTATTAGAATTTTTAAATTTTTCAAAAATTAAGGAGTCTGATTTCCGACTTTGATTTTCTGTAAATTAAAAATTAATAGGATTTTTACACAACGTATGATTTTTAGGTTCAGTAAATAATGACTGACATTTTGCCACGATGCCGTATTGTAAAAATGCAGGAATTCTAGCACGCCTCGTTACCATTTAAATAAAAAAGCATGTAAAAACATTCATGAGTGTGTTCTCGCGGGACATGAGATGAAAACTTCAGCCGCAATTTTTACATGTCGCTGCAACGAAAGCTCAACTTTTGCACGAGTTGGTTTTAATAACAAATTAACTACGGTTTGAATAATTCACATTTACATATTCATACGGGAATTGCGACACTCCAAACAGTGCCATTCGCTTAATATAGGACAATCTACTTCTGGAAATAGTTGATATAGCATTGCATTGCCGTGTAATATAATAGGCAAAGTATTATGCAAATGTGATGAGCGCTATTACATTTTAAGAATTAATATTGCAATTTAATTTAATCCCAACTTGAATTCTGTACTATAACTGTTTCTTTTTATCTTAAACGAAAACTTCTATGATTGATCTTGTCTAATTTAAGTTTGATACTATTAGACTTAGTTTAAGCTGTCCGCAGCAATTTAAAACTTTCTCCAACAATTTAAATAAAAGTTCAACTAAAGTTGTCTCTTTTAACTTACACACTTGACTTACAAAGTTTTTCAGAACTGGATTTATCAGAATTATTTGTTTCGCGTATCACTTTTAAGGGTTTGAAACTTTTGTTTGTTTGTTAGATAGACGCTGTTTCCAAAAACAAAAATTACACTTTTATTTCTTTCCAGTAATATTCTATGAATATTGGGGCTTTTATGTAACTGAAAACAGTTGCACAAAATGCTTTGTAACACTGTTTTTGGCAACATTTTATGCAATACTTTTGTCATCACCGGCTGCATACTGTCGTTTATCGTGAGAAATGTTGTATTTCATCGAAACTAATGCAATTGAGATATTTTCAAGCAACTAGTATCAATTGCACAAAACAAAGTTGAAGGTTTATTTTTAAGCTAAAATTAAACTTTAAACATTTTCTGTTAGGATTAATAATGTCAAAAATTAAACCACCCCTAACTGAAAAACGAATCGACAAATAAACATTTTTTTTGAAATATAGTTACGTTCATTTTTTCCTTTTCCGAAAATGTTTTAAAAAGTAAGGGGTGCCATTTAAAATTTTAAAGTAGAGGTGGCTAGCGACTAGGGGATGAAACTTAAAATGTAACTAATGTTGGTTTTCAACTTCCCCCTCGAGATCCTAATCGACCTGTTTTTGCTTGAAAGTACATTTACTCAATGACAGAAGTTACTGAGACTGACTCCTTTTGAAATGAAAGCCCTGTATACATTAATTTGTTTGTTACAAAAATTGATGTACTTTCAAAAATTAACCATCCGGTAGCATTTCCAGTGCCCAAACTAGGTATAGGCGAAGTAGATCCCTGCCTATGGGCGCAAAAAAAATGTCGGTGTAACAAATGTTTACAAAACTGTTTTTGTTTTTTTCTTTAAATGCCAAACAGTCTTAACGTTGGCATCACTAGTAAATTCATTTATGGTAATTTTAATACAGGAAGTTGGCAGTTCCGGTTTTTCGAATTAATTTGAAAACAATGTCATTAAACGTCAACACAAAAAATCGTCTAAGAAAATTTAGAGACGAAACACCAAAAAAACAACAAATTCAGTACACTAACCATTTTTCGAAATTTGGAAACGAATAGTTCGCAAGCAGGAAGTTAGAAAAAGGGCCCGTTAAAATGTAGACGCAATTTGTTATGCACATCCTTAATTTTTAGCAAAAAATTGACAAGAATACAAAATAAACATGAATGATAACGAATCTACGCAATTAAATTAGTGTCTTGTGCATCGTTTTTGAGGAACGAGTTGAAAAAGTAACAATTTTGAAACTAAAACTCAAGAATTTACAAAATGCATCAACTTTGAGCTCATTTCAATAAATTACACAAAATTTCTTGCCAATCATCATAATACCTACTTGTATCTTTTTCTAAATAACTTTTTTCTGTACATACATCTTTTATCATCAAAGTTTTTTGTAGCAAGAATCTCATTTTTGTCCACAGCATTGTACTTACTTGCGGTGTGTTTCTGTCAAAATTATTAGCACTGAATTCTGTCTTTAGACCTTAGCTAATGATGTCTGTCCTCAGGTATCAAAATCAAAATTTTGACATTTCAATTTGAACACATAACCATAATTTTTTAACAAAACTTCTAGGGACAAAAGCAAAGAGCAAACAAAATTTGTGGCTGTGGAGACAAGCTGCTACCAATTTTTTCACCAAAATTTTAACTTGGTAATTTCCATTTAAAAAAAACAGACTTTACCTATAGTTGTGTTTTCCGATTAAGCAATATTTTGTGCTGCCTTAAAACATAAGTGAACTGTAGTTCAATTATTTTTGAGTTTATTGGTCGCCTGTATTTAGACATTCAGATATAATGAATATGTAATTTAGGTAAAATTGCAAAATTGTGGTTCAAATTAATATGTAAATAAATATCTACTGAATCTGCAATTAACCATTTTATCCGAATGTCACAACAGTCACAACTAATTGCAAACGGAATATTTGTGGATTATTAGGTTTTGCTTTATATATTCGTATGTAAACCTACCCAGATAAATTAATTAACACTTAATCTCAGTTAACAGAAAATTTAGTAGCCACTAAGGTAAAATTTAAAATAGGATACCGTTAAAACTTGGAATTGAGTTAGCTGTAAAAATATATAAGTAGACGCAAATAAAAGATTGGAACTATTACAACATTTAAATTAAAAGTGCATTTAAAATTGTTTTTCTCTAAAATTTAACTATTTATACAAATTAAAAAAAATATAACAATTTTGCCGTGAATGCATTAAATATTAAATTCACAGTAAGAGTATACATACATACGTATTAAATTAATTTTGACTGAAACAAAATGCGGAAAATGCGGAAATGAAAAAATTATGCTATTTATGTTTTAAAGGCTGTAATAAATTGTTTGTAAAACATGGATCGCCTTAAAATATAAGAACATAAAAATATTTATCCTAAAAACTGAAAGAGAACACAGTTAAATAAATAAATGATTACAACAGTCTTTAGTTACTGGAATTAAATAAATATCCGATGGCAAATTTATATGTTAAAAGGAAAAAGAGCTTGCGGCTTTTGCCTTTGTGTGCTTTATTTTAAACAAAGTAAGTATCTAGATGATTAAAGTTATTAAAGTGTGTGGTAATAATTTTCCGAATTTATATCAGCCAAATCATTAATGCGTCCTTGTTTACCAAACACATTCAACATTTCAAAATAAATCTTCAAATAAGGAGAAGTCACTGAATTGCAAATTCATAAATTAACCCTTCAAATTTCAACTCTTATTAATGCTAGGGTTTTCACCGAGGTTCAAATTTAGGAAGTTTGTTTGAGATAATTTAGCGGTTTCAATAACGTGCTTTTTTCACATTTTAGTCACTTTTGTACATACTTAGATACCTTGTTTCTCGGTCATGATAAATGGTTTAAAAAGTGACTGTTTCGCCTTTAATTAAGTAATAAAAAACTA